GGTGGGCGTGGGGGGGGCCGGGGTGTCAAGGCGGGAGCCAACTTGTTCTAGGCTCGGGCCCACGCCTTAAGGGGTTAAACCTTTCTCATGTTACGGAGCGGCTTATAAGGAGGGGGAGGCCAAGCCTCCGCCTTAATTGGGAGCCTTTTGGGGTTTATTCTCTTCCCTTCTAACTTGGTGAGTTGGTTTTATTATTTTACATGTTTAAAAGTTTGATTGTGGGGTTTTTTTTTTTTTTTTTTAATAAGTGTGGGGGGCCTTTGGGGAGGGGAGGCGGAGGAAGCCACTTCACATTGTAACATTTTGGAGAGGCTATTCCAAAACATTCTGTGACAGTTGGGAAGGCTCCCGGCCACCAGGATGAAGCGCGCTTCTTGCCAGTGCAGGCAGCTGGGAGTTGCAGGTCCACGACCCTGCTGCAGTCGGGGTCCGGGAAATAACCTAAAGGCTGGCCTGGCCCTGAGTACCCCCGGCCCTGGGCGAGGCAGGGGCGGCGGGCTGAGCCCGCGTGTGTGGATTTTCCGCATGAAGTTGCCTGCGCGAAATGTCAGAGGTACCTTCCTTTCCCCGGGCTCGCGCGCGCGCGCGCACAGCAGCCACTGAGGCAGCGCGAGGGAAGTGGGGCTCCCCGTCTCCATGCCGACATCTCGTTCCCGGGGGTGACCCATGTTGCCCTGGGGGAAATGCAAGGATTTTTCCCGAGGAGTGCGGGTCCTGTTCCTTGACAGAAACACCAGCGGCTCACGCAGGTCCCGCGCAACTTCCAAGGTTCGCTGGGCTTCCAGCCGCCAAGAAAGCGCTGGTGTAGCTTAGTGGTTCGGGAACGAAGGAAAATGGTTTTGCAGAGGAAATGGGTTATTTCCTTCTGGGTTGTTTGCGTTTCCCCCCACCTCAGCAGACAGGTGATAGAAGTTTGTTAGGTGTCATGTTAAAATGTCACCAAATATGAGGGGCGTTAGTCTTAGGAAAAAGCTCCCAGAGCCAACTGGGGAGGAACAGTTAACTTGGCGACCTAGAAGAGGGGCTATTTGCAGAACTAGACTTTCCTGCCGGCCTCCTTCTCAGGAGGTTTCTACCCTTTGCAAATCATGAGAAGATACGTGTCTTGTTGCCAAGAAAAGAAAAAGAAAGCCAAGTGGTTATGTTGAAGTCCGGAGTGATGCATCTCCCTAAGTCCCAAGCACTATTTTGTGGCATGTTAGGGGTCTACAAGACATCCTGCTGATGAAAACAATAGAAACACCTCTTCTCCTAATTAAGGAGAAGGGTGTCCAAGATAGAAACTGACCGTATGTAAATAAACAATGCCAAGTGGAAAAATTCCTATCTTGATGAGCACCACCAGCCCGGAGTGTTCCTTCTGTGGCTTCCAAAAAGGGACTTTCCTCCGTGGAACTCCTGAGGAAGACACTTAAATTAGGGGCTCAGGTTTCCACATCATGGGTTTGCGAAATGGGTGAATTGGTTGTGCCCAGTCATTCAACACTGCTTAGGCAGCCGTCCAGGTTAGATTTGAGATTTTTTTTTTTTTTAAATAGAGAATTCAAATGAACTTCACCCAAATACTGACTGGTTTGGGGGTCGGGGGCAGAGACAGCTTGTCAGAAGCTGTTCATCTGGGTACGCCTTAAAGGAAAATGGAGATTGCAAAGGCATCCACTCAGGCTTAGCCAGAGCCAGCAGCCCTCCCATTTTAATCCAGTTTTGAACTTTGCTCTGAACTGACCCTGGGCTAACTCAGTTGGTCTGTAATAATCTCGGCCTTCTTGTGCCCTCAGGGTAGATCTTTTCTCAACAAATTAAAATCACAGTGAAAATTCCAGGTAAAGTCGATTTCTAAGCCTTGGTAGGATACACATTTAGTTAAGGGCTGCCTTTTTTTTTTTTTTTTGGTAGTTATTTTCTTCTGTCTTTTTTCTTTAAGGGAACACTTAGATAATCAGGGCTACTAGGAAATACTCCAAACTACTTCAGAAGAACATTGGAGTGAAGGGAACCCCAATTTAGAATTATAGAATTTTGTATTTGAAAAATACCTGAGAGACTGCTTTGTCTAACCCCTGCTTTTAGAGATGATGAAATGTAGGGATTATATGATTTCAGCCAATTAGTGGAAAACAGAAATTCAGCAACTATTGCTTGATGGCTTCAAGAAGGTAAAGACCCAAACCTGTGGGTCTTCAGAGGATTTTACTGTGAAGTTCCTTTTCTTGGGCAAGGATGTAGTTCAGATGTAGAGTCCCTGCTATTAAGCTCAGGGTCCTGGGTTCCATCCCCAGCACCACACCAAAAAGAAAAAAAAATTTTTTTTTTTACTTTTACGTGGGGCAGGAAGAGATCTGAGATCAGAATCTAGTTCAATTTCCTCGTTTACCTTTGGGGACAGTGAAGATCAAGATGTGAAGTGATTCACCCGAGCCCACAGGGTCACTCAGCTTGGCACAAAAGTTAGATCCTACATAGCCAGTAATGTCCTTCCCACCAGATACAACTCCCAAACCAAATGGACAGACAGGCAGTTTTCATATTCTGGGATTTGTAGAGGCTTCTAAGTAATCAAGTTCAAAATCCAGGCTTTGGTTGCTCTGTTTGCAGAGGCAGTTTGTAAAACTAGTTGTCCTTCCCCTGAACAAATGGAAGAAAGAAAAGGAGACACAAGGAAAAGGTTTATTTTGTAACCTGGCACTTCCTCATTTTATGAGTCAATTTTATAAAGAGAGAGCTACACATTGCTTTGGGAATAATCCAGGACCTTCTTACCCAGTAAACTTCTAGTGAGTGCATAGTATGGACCCAATGCTGTGTCAGGCACCGGGTTTGCAGAGAGCGGCTGGTTGCCTTGTAGGTACTTGCGGTGTGCGATCTAACACGCAAAACACAGGCACCGTCACCTGGTAAGTCTTAGAAACCAAGCTCTTCATTGTTAGGCTATGCTGCGGCCGGCCTTCACAGCTGGAGGCAGTAGGAACTGGGACGCTTTATAACAGTAAAGGCATAAGCTTTGGAAGAGGTGCCCTCTTGCCTTATGATGATCCCAGAAATAAGAAGGCAAACTGCACTCCAGAAATCTAAGACTGCACGTGAAAATTATGTTTCGATTTAGCCACAATAGAATAGCACAAACATAAACCAGTTTTTTAAAAAATAAAGCAATTGGCCACCCAGAAGGGGGCATGGAAAGCAAACAGAAATCGGAAGTCCGCTATCTTTTATGCAGCTGTCACAAACCAGATCTAACCAGTGTCCACTCGTGTTTCCAAGAGCCATCTAGATTTGCACTTTGCTCCTATCCTAGCATAGTTTCCTGGGGTCACTCAGCCAGGTCTGACCTGAGATAGTAGTTGATTAACAGAATTCAGTGCTGAATTCAAAAGTCTCAACTGCTGAAGGTGGATTGAACCTTAAAGATTCTCCACACCAGTCTTCTCATTTGAGCAAAGAGGAATTCAGGCCCAGAGAGGGGAAGAGACTTTCTCACATAGTTAAGTGGCCTGCCATTTCACAGACCTTTTTACATATAAGGATCACGAGAGCTTTTCCCACTGGGGATTTAACTGCCTGCCTCACAAGTGCAAGGTCCCAAGTTGGATCCCTGGAACCGAAAAAAAAAAAAAGCTTTTTTTAACAAAAAGGGCTTTCTCACAATCACTGTATAAAACATGTCCCTCTCTGGCCTTTAAAATGTTGCCCTGTAGACTTAGGCGGTAGGATCCTGTATGGTGCAGATTTGATTCTGGACCATGTTAGTGAAATCTCTTTACGTTTCTGGGCTCAGCTCCTCTATCTCACAAAATAAGTAGGGGTTTACAGAAGTTGGAAGAGATGTGCTCCAAATTCCCTCAGCTGTAATTCTTTCATTTGGATTCCATTTTTCATTTGGTCTACCGGTGGTCCTCACCCTGTTTTGCAGCTGCAAATGTGATTGTAGGGCAGAGGAAGAAGAGTAGCCTCGAGGAGGACTGAAAAGCTGGCCTTGTCCAAAACATTCTGATGACTGGGAGGTAACTTCACGCCACAGCTAGTCCAGTCCCACTCATTCAAAGGCTGTCCGGCAAAAAGACTCTCCTGACCCGAAACCTTTATCCGATTTTATCCCAATGTGGTTTTTGTTCAGATTAGTCCTGAGCCCTCTTTTAAGACTTTGAAAACCTCATGGGCACATATATGGGCACCTGATTGTGCCAATGTGACCTTGGACTTAGTAGCCACTTAGTCCTGACTGCTGGTCAGAGATGTGCTGAACCCTGGAAGGACGTGGCTAGATGGCTGTAGATAGGACACTCTTCAGTCCCAAGGTTCGTTAGCATCATCAACAAATGTTTTAGTCCATGAAGGCAGAGACTGTGTCCCTCTCTTTTCACTAGAATCCCTATGATGAAAGCAGAGGGCCTAGCTAGTGCTGGTGCCTGCCTGTGATCCCAGCACTCAGGGAGGTTGAGGCTGTGGATGCAGGATCACAAGTCTGAGCCCAGCCTAGGCAACACTGTGACTTAGCAAGACTATCTCTAAGTAAAAAAAAAAACAAAACATTTTTTAAAGAGGATGGGATGTGAAGGCCCTGGGTTCAACTCTCAGTGTTGGAGAAAAAAAAGAAAGAAAAAGCAGGGAGAGCACCAGGCTGACATTAGCTAGGTGCTGTGTTGAAAACATAAGAGCTGTATAGTTTGGACGTGCACAGTAAAATAGAGATATAGTCCCTGGATTTTGTGAGTTGATTAAGATAAATGCATAAAAACAAATGACCCCCCATGATTAAATGATAACCTCTCTAGTGAAGAGTCCCTTCACGAGACAGGTGGTCAGAGGACGCCTTATGGAAAAAGGATTAGATGAAGCCGGGCCTTGGAGGACGAGCTGAGCCAACTGTAGGAAGACATCCAGCTCGGGGAAATGCCACGGCCAAAGGCAAGGTGGCCGGAGACCCGAGGGGCATGAAAAGCCCATTTTGACTGTGTTGGGAGTGTTGAGTCTTAGAACTGCAAGAAAGAAAGCTACCAAGACAGTTCAGGGTCCAATTACGAGGGACACGAAAGTCAGGCTAATCAGTGGGCCTTATCCTACAAGGAGAGAAAAACCGCTGAAAAAGCCTGAGCAGAAAACTGCCTTGAGAGTGCAATATTTCCAGAAGGCTAACTGAACCACATACATGGAGCCCGTTCAGAAGCTGTTAAAGGAGTCGGCTTCACACGGAAAACAGCAAACCCATGGCCTTGTGGAAGGGATGCAGGCCGAGGCCCTGACACCTGCAGGCTTCTCATTGCCTCCTGCTTCCCACCAACACCCTCCCCAGGGATAAGCAGTGTTGTTAATCTCCTAAATCATAAAGCTCATGCTCTTTTTACTCCTCTGCCTCAGTTGCCTCAGCCTGAGTGACTTTTGAAAGGCCCCTGCAGGAGTGCTGGGAGGCCAGGGAGCGCCTGGCTCCTGTCTTGCATCATCTGCTTTGCATGGCAGGGCCACGAACGACCATTCTGTGGCTGCTCCTCAACGGCTGGCCTGGGCTTCCCCTTCACCTTTGCTCTCGGGCACAACTCATCACCCTGCAAGGCCTTTGCTTCCGACAGCACAGGCTTCTGAAAGCATCTAATGCCCCAGTTCCCTCAGCTAAGTATTTAACAGTATCTAAGTACAAATAGTGGTAGAGTCCTTCCCAAGTACTGGGTTGCTCTGGGGATGGAACAGCCCATTAGATGAATAATACGAAGCTAGATCAGGTATGGCGCTATTTAAGATTTATAAAGTTAATTCAGAATATTAGATCTTATGATCAGAAATCAAAAGTCCATGGCATAGATGAGCTTATATCCTACTTTTTACTTGCTTTCATTTCGGACAAAACCTTTGCCCTTTGATTGAACATGAAAACTTTATGGCTAGAAGGACACACATGCACCCTTCAACAGCACTTTGTTTATGATAGGGTCTCACTATGTAGTCCAGGCCAGCCTGGAGCTTCCAGTGATCCTCCTGCCTCAGCCTAAGTGCTGGGATTACAGGCGTGCGCCACCACGCCCAGTTTGAACAGCTTTACCTACTACAACTGTAATTATAAAGAATTCCTGGGCCGGGCATGGTGGTGCACGCCTGTAATCTCAGCACTCGGGAGGCTGAGGCAGGAGGATCACTGTGAGTTCGAGACCAGCATGGGCTACATAGTGAGTTCCAGGTCAGTCTCAACTATGTAGTGAGACCCTGTCTCAAAAAACCAAAAAACAAAAAAAAAATTCCTGAGCTCGAGGTTGATTACCATTAAAAGCTCTAAGACAGCTGGGGCGTGGTGGCGCCTGCCTGTAATCTCAGCACTTGGGAGGCTGAGGCAGGAGGATTGCTAGGAGTTCAAGACCAGCCTGGGATACGCAGTGAGTTCCAGGGCAGTCTTATCTATATAAGTGAGACCCTGTCTCAAAAACAAAAAAGCTCTAAGAACATAGATTTATTTATCATTATAAGCACTATTAAATTTTAGTTGGGCTAAAGTACATATATATCACTGTTTGAAAATATACGTAACTCTGGAGGCTTTGCAGTATTCACGTGCTGGAGCTTGGCAGAGAAGACTTAAATTGAACCAGCCTCCTTGCAAGGTAAAGAGCAGTTCCTCTTACCCAGGGCTGAGTGTCAGGGCTGTTTTGATGTTTCTTGCCGGTTGAAAGGCATAGTAAGGTGAGGGTAACTTGGTTAACAGGTGCACAGACAAGGTCCTACAGGTTGGTAGAGCATTATTTAGCTGCTGTATTCTAAAGTATTTGTCATTTGCTCAGAAACAATATACCCAGGGGTGATCGGCTAGAAGCATTTAGGCTAAACAAGCTCTCAGAAGGCAGAATTCTCACATTCTGATGTATAGTTCCATTCTGTCCTTGTGTACATCTGCACAGGACACAAAATCATAAATCAGAATCCACCTCACCGGGAGCGAAATGGGAGCAGCAGGAGTTGGCTGGCCGATCTCAAGGCCAGTGGCATCGAGCAGGGATGTATGTGGCGTCTCCAGCTCTTGCCCTGTGGAAGGCGCTGGACGTGCTGTCAGTGTTCGCCCCTCACTTCCCCTTTTCCACATTTCACTTCCGGTCAGTGTTCGTTGTGATCACTTCTGTCCTTGCTTTGCTTGTCTCCTTCAACATCAGCATCTATACTTGATCTGGTGGCCATTCTGTGTCCTTCAAAAGGCCTCGAAATGGTCTGCTCTAATTCCGTGTGTTTGTTATTTGTTTCCCACTTAACTATCACAAAGAAGTCCGCCAGGTCCAAAAGTAGGTAAATAGGTAGGTAGGTACGCACATTGACAGATTGGTAGACAGACATATAAAATTGTCCAAAGACTTTGTATAACTTATAGGAGTTAAGTATTCAACCAACTTGAGGAAAGTGTTACGTCGTTCTTACCTTTTATGTGTGCTAGAGTATTTGGATAACCAACCCTAATGCTATTGGTGGTCTGAATTTTTTTTTTTTAATTTCAGATCAAGAATGACCCAAAAGAAATCAAAGCTTTGTTGCAGAGCCAATGTGTATACGCAAGTGCCTGATGGAGGATGGGGTTGGGCAGTAGCTGTTTCTTTTTTCTTCGTTGAAGTCTTTACATATGGCATCATCAAGTCATTCGGTGTCTTCTTTAAAGACTTAATGGACAGTTTTGATGAATCCAACAGCAGGATCTCATGGATAATATCAATATGTGTGTTTGTCTTGACATTTACAGGTTAGTATTTCTTCAGTCTAACCAGGATATAATCATTTGTCCCTGTTAATCTATCCAAGTACAGAATAGTTGCCGTGTCCAGAATGCAATTCCCTTATAGGCATTCTTGGCCCTCTTGAGGCTTGATTAAGTGACCAATTTTCAGAGAGTTGGGAAAATACAAAAAACAGTAGGCACTGAAAGAAAACGTCGTACTTGCCAACTTTGACTGTATTACATATCTACTGCCTACACGCTCTTAGGATTCTATAGAGTACTTTGAGACTAACAGTAAACCCCAGGTCTGTGAGCCTATAGTGACTATCTAAAAAGTGGCATCAAAAAGTACTTGGCATAGTAGGATCTGGCTTTATAAAGCACATTTAGAAAACAGGTTAGAAACACGTAAATGTGAATACCTGAAGAGATAAGACAGGATGTGTAAAAGGATATACACAGTCAGTGTTCCAAATCCAAGGGTTCCTTGCCCATAAATTCAACCAGCATCGCTGGTGACGGGTTCCACATGGACGGCTGTACCTGTATTAACATGTCCAGACTTCCTTTTCTTGTCATTATTCCCTAACAAATGCAGTGTAAGTGTTTGTGTAATGTTTACATAATATCAGGTATTATCGGTAATCTAGAGATGATTGAAAATCTGCGGGATGATGTGCGTAGGTTATTATGCAAAAAATGCTAACCAGGGACTTGAGAATCTGCAGACTGTGTTATCCTCAGCCATTGGTAGAAACAAGGCCCTGTGGATGTGGATGACAATGGTAATGCAAGATTTCATATACTGTCCTGAGGAGACACTGCACTCCAAACACCTAACTCCCTGAGGACCTGAACTCTCACCATCCAGTACTCAGATCCAACTGCATAAAATAAAACGGGGTTGTAGTGTCATTTTTAACATACTGATACTGTCTTGGTCCTGTATGCTTGATGGCCGCATACAGTCATGCCTGTCAGAAGCATCAGCAAGGATTTCCCGAGAGAACAAAGCTCTGAACTCATTTTAGAAATCCAGCCAGTCTAGACTGGGGTGGGGGCCCATGTCTGTAATCCCAGCACTGTGGGAGGCTGAGGCAGGAGGACCATGAGTTCAAGCCCAGCCTGGGCAACTTAATGACTTACCAAGACCCTGTCTCTAAATAAATAAATAAATATTTTTTAAATCCTTGAGCTGACCTTAAACTGTCCTAATTTATCCCGATATCCTGTCAAGTTAGAAGGTAATTCTAAATGATACTATTCTAGTTTTTAAGGGCTTTGAGCCAACATATTAGCTCAAAACTATGATAGTGGTTTCATTATTTGCTACATTCAATAGCAGTTTGCATCCTAATAATTAGAAGGAAACATCCATATGGACCAACTTCAACAAAACCAAATCCTTTTTATCTCCACCCTTTTTCATCCAGCTTCTAGTCTGTCTTCAACTCACCTCTCACTGGTTCGCTGATCTCAGTGTACTCAAGTCAGTGTTAACTAATGTATAACAAAGAAACTAATTTACTGGATTTAAATGTCTCGAGTGAGGCACACACAAGCCAAGCATATTATATGATTCATCTGCCTCTTTCAGTCATCTGTCGTATAGCTAGGTCTGCATAACTGAAAATTTACCTCCGTCATTTTCAGAAAAGTCAAAGTGAATAGAATTTTACTCCAAATGGAGCTTACAAAAAAAAAAAAAAGAAGAAGAACAAAGCAATGAATACAGGAGTAAAATTCAAGCAACCATAGCAAAACCAGTTTTTATTACAGAGTAACATAAATACATATTTAATTTTATAGCTGCTCATAGTCAAGATCTTTCATCTAAAAATATAGATAATGTAGATTAAGAGTTTTACACTCTTTTTGCTCTGGCTTTGAGTTTTTTGGTCCTTGGGACTGAACCCAGAGCCTTGTACTGCTAGGTGAGCTCTCTACAACGAAGTTATGACCCTAACCTCTTGGCTTTCTTTTTTTTCCTTTCCTCTTGTTTTTGTTTGTTTTTTTGTTTGTTTTTTGAGACAGGGTCTCTCTATGTAGTTGAGACTGACTTGGAACTCACTATGTAGCCCAGGCTGGTCTTCAACTCACAGTGATCCTCCTGCCTCAGCCTCCTGAGAGCTGGGATTATAGGCGTACACCACCAAGCCTGGCTTGTTTTCCTTATCTTCTTCTTTTTTTTTTTTTTTTTTTAACATGGGGTCTTGCTAGGTAGTCCAGGCTGGCCTTGATCTCACTAGGTATCTGGCCTCAAACTCTTTGCAATTCTCCTGCTTCAGCCTCCTGAGTGGTGGGCATGCCACCACACACAGCTGTTTGTTTGTCTCTTTAAAGGGACTAGCGGATCTTGTCCAATTTGAACAAATACTAAAATAATTTCTAAACAGACATCCGTAGTCATGGCACAAAATGGATTACATACTTAAAATCCTCCCTCTAGGCTCAAGACCAGGGGAAGCACCCGCCCTGCAGCCAACAGTGACCCCTCCGTGAGCTGGCCAGTCACTCTCTGTTCCTCCCCCTGCAGCTCCCCTCTCCACAGTCCTGAGCCATCGCTTCGGACACCGCCTGGTGGTGATGGTGGGAGGGCTGCTGGTCAGTGCTGGGATGGTGGCGGCCTCCTGCTCACAGAAGGCCCACGACATGTACATCTCCATCGGGGTCATCGCAGGTGAGTGGCCCTCCCGACACTTGGCTTGAAGAACAGCAACGGGGAGGGAGGGAATTAAACCCAAATCGTAATTTTTGTTACTCTTTAAAATGAATAATGTAGGGCCGGAGGTTTAGTTCAGTGGTGCCAGCTCCTGCCTGGCAAGCACAAGGCCCTGAGTTTGATCCCCGGTTCCACAAAAATGAAACAAAATAAAAAAATGAAATGAATAATGTCTGAGCCCTGTGGTCTTGAACTGGGTGATATAAAAACCCCAGGGGAGATGGAAACGTATTCTCAAGTGCCCCAGAGCTTTTGTTTGATTTGTTTTTTTAAAGTATTTACCAATAATGAAGATAGCTTCTCTTTTGCTCTTGTTTGCAGCCAAAAACCACCAAAGTAGGACTTTAGTCTCTTTAGCCAGTATTTCTCAGATAAGAGTCTCATGACCCTGGACTTATTCTTGGGAAGACTAAGAAAACATTTTCCCTTTTACTTTTTCTTGCACTGCCGGCTGTTGAACCCAGGGCTTCTTGCCTGCTAGGCAAGTTTTCACCACGGAGCTACCATATGCCTGGCCTCCGTTTTTTCTCTTCAAAGGGAGTCCATACGTACATTGCTCATGGACAACGAACATATGTTCATTAAATCTGCATGCTGGAGATGGAACCCAGAGCCTTGTGCATGCAAGGCTGGTGCCCTACCACTGAGCTACACCCCTAGCCCCCATCCCTTTTTAAAATTTTGAGTCAGGGTCCCGCTAAGTTGCACAGCCTGCCTTCAGATTTGAAGATCCCCCTGCTTCAGCCTTCTGAGTAGCTGGGATTACAGGTGTACATCACCACACCTGGCAAATACATATATAAAAACTGTTCGGTAATATATGTCCATTGTGAATTCTGTGAACTTAAAAAATTGCAGAAAAGTGAAAAACAAAACAGAAAACCGTTTTTATGCTCCCAGTGTCCTAAGACAAACTGTTGCAACATATCTAGACCTTCGATGAGACCCATTTTTCTTTGTGAATTACCTTTTTCCACAACGAGTTACTTGGCTCCTAAAAACAAAAACGGAAGTCCTCCACCTCTGAACACGTCCTTCAGTACCCATCAGTGTGTGGTTCTGTCTTCTTTTTGACTTTTGCCCACAGGTTTGGGGTACTGCTTTAGTTTCCTTCCAACTGTCACCATCCTATCACAGTACTTTGACAGAAGACGCTCAGTGATCACTGCAGTTGCTTCCACAGGAGAATGTTTTGCTGTTTTTGCCTTTGCACCAGGTAGGTGGACAACAGCAGCCTACAAATCACTGTGGAATAGGGGAAACCACTCTTGCTGTGCTTTTTCCAACAGTGGGGTAGACTTTCACTGTATGCATAATGAAAGGTTGTTCGCCCTCTCTTCTTCCAGGGCATTTTTAGGCTGTATCCTTCCAACCCCTATTTTAGGAATTTAAACCTTTTCAGTCTAGTCCAGCTTTACATAAATAGGAAGATACACGAGGTGTACTCAGTGGTAAGACTTGCGTGAAGCAAACAAAAAAATTCTAAAATAATTTAATGATGTTAGATTGTTCATATTTTTCTCCCCTTTCAAAAGACATGCATTCATTGTGGACTTAAATTAGGATAATAAAGTCAGTTTTATGATGTGCACATGGATATTCTCATAGCAAAATTTTTGCCTCAACTAATATTAATACATGAATGCCAAGAAAACTGAGGTAGGAGACAGGTAACCTTGGAAACCCAGATTCTTTCTTTCTCTGCCATTTCTTGAGGAGTGTCAGTGGCCTGCATTTTCTTCATAGGAGAGACTGGTGTTTAGGAGTGGCACGACAATGTCAGCAGCATTTCAGATGCTTCTGAAAATTAAGTATGTGCATGTAAACATACAGAGAGAAGCAGAAATACAGAGAGGCAAGAAATAGTTCATGTTCTGGCTTTTTTCAGTACTGAAGACTTGAACTCTAATCCTTTTTATTTTGAAAAAGAGTCTCACCGCGTCACTAAATCGCCCAGGCTGGACTCTTAACTTGTGATCCTCCTATCTCAGCTTTCCAGAGTGCTGGGATTACAAGCATGGGCCGTCACACCCAACTTGAGAAGATTCTTCATGGTCTTGCGGAGCCTGCATTATTCTACTGTAGTGAGGGAGGTTTAAACTCTCTTTAGCTCCATCCTGTGTCCAGCCTCTCCCTCAGGTCCCCTCTGGTCAGCAGCCTCTGCCCCAATTTAATAGCAAGAAGAGGGTGGTGGTTAAGGGCATGCCTCAGGGAGAGACTTAAGAGAACTATATCATTTAATTCCAGGATACTCTTAGAGTCTTCGTTCATTTTTTGTTTAATTCATTATTCCTAAGGACTGAACGAGTGGCTGTAGAACTGTATAGCGCAGAGGTTGACAAGTTATTTTTATAAAAGGCCATGTAGTAAATATTTTAGGCCGTGCAGATTGTATCGTCTCTGTCACAACTACTCAGTTATGCTGTCCCAGCACAAAAGCATTCATAGACTACGTAAATGAATGCACATGGCTGGGATCCTATTCAGCTTTAGTAACAGAAACAGGCAGTAGATCAGATTTAGCCTGCAGGTCATTGTTCATCAAACCTTGGCACAGGTCACAAACTTCACTTCCTGTGCTTCTATCTGAAAAAAACACACCCTGCCAAGCTCTCCTGGAGATGTGAGTACAGAAATCTTTTATATACAACAATCATTGTGCACATTTTCTCCTTCTTGACTCATAAAATGCACCAAAACCTAGAATAAAGGATAGTCTGGATTGACGGCATTAGCACTGTTGACTGCATTTTTGCCAAAACTCGTACCAGATATGCATGCAGATGTTTTCTGGATATTGACTTGTGGGTCTGGAGTTCCAGACTAACCTTCGAATTCCCTTCGCTCCCTCTCTTCCAGCCATCACGGCTCTCAAGGAGCAGATCGGCTGGAGATACAGCCTTCTCTTCGTGGGCCTGCTGCAGTTAAACATCGTCGTCTGTGGGGCACTGCTGAGACCAATTATCATCAGAGGACCCGAGTCGCCGAAAACAGCGCCCCATGAAAACCGAAAAGAAGCGCAATATATGCTTGAAAATGAGAAAACGCGAACCTCTCTAGACTCCATTGACTCAGGAGTAGAACTAACTACCTCACCGAAAAATGTGCCTAGTCATGCTGCTGCCGAGCCGGAGCCCAGGGCTGAGCAGCAGATCCCAGGGAAGACCGGTTCCTCCCGCAGTGAGAAGAAAGGCCCGTTGTTAGACTTCTCCATTTTGAAAGAGAAGAGTTTTATTTGTTATGCACTATTTGGTCTCTTCGCCACACTGGGGTTCTTTGCACCTTCCTTGTACATCATTCCTTTGGGCATTAGTCTGGGCATCGACCCCGATCGCGCTGCTTTTTTATTATCTACCATGGCAATTGCTGAAGTTTTTGGAAGAGTCGGAGCTGGTTTCATCCTCAACCGAGAGCCCATTCGTAAGATCTACATTGAGCTCATCTGCACCATCTTACTGACCGTGTCTCTGTTTGCCTTCACTTTTGCTACTGGATTCTGGGGCCTCATGTCATGTAGCATATTTTTTGGGGTTATGGTTGGAACAATTGGGGGGAGCCACATACCACTGCTCGCTGAGGACGACGTGGTGGGAATTGAGAAGATGTCCTCCGCAGCAGGCGTCTACGTGTGCATTCAGAGCATAGCAGGGCTGGCAGGACCACCCCTGGCAGGTAATTTAAAGGCCCAACACACACACCCGTCTACACTCCTAGTTTCCTGTTCAAGTCTAATTTTAAAACCTACTTCCACATTTATACTTGCTTGCATTTTAGGGCTGCAAAGGATGAGAAGTCCCCTGAGCCAACCCCCTTGATTTAAACACAAGGAAACTGTAGGCCAAAGAATTTAAGCTAACAGCCACACAGTAATGACACTAGGCCAGGATCAGAACCTGTGTCTGCCGGTTCCAGCTGCCCGAAGCCCTTTTTTTTTTTTTTTCTCCCAGATGAAGTCTTGCTTTGTAGTTCAGGCTGGCCTGGAAGCTGCAGGATCCTCCTGCCTCAGGATCCTCCTGCCTCAGGCTCCTAGGTGCTGGAATTACTGGCATGCACCATTGTACCTGGCGCCCAGGTACCATCTATCATCTGCCTTGTCTAACGCCAGAGGGGAAGCCCATGGATATGGGATCTTTGTAGCCCATCTGACTTTGGGGCAAATAGAACTAAGGGACTTCTTCTGTAAGGTTATTTTCCTTCCTTAGGACAGGTGTTTGGGGATTGAGCACATAGCATTCTACAAATACTTAATTGGTTAGTACAGAATATTTCTTTCTTAGAGAAACCTTAACCCATTAAAAGATACCTGAAGTGAATGCAAGCAAAATAATACAGCTTTTTCCATATTTAAGAATACTACCTTTTAAGCTGGGTTTAAGGGCACACACCTGTATTCCCAAGTACTTGAGAGGCTCAGGCATAAGGATTGCAAGTTTGAGGCCAGTCTGGGCAACTCAGTGAGACCCCGTCTCAAAACAAAATTTTACAGAGGGCTGGAAATGCAGCTCAGCGGGGAAGTGCTTGGCTGGCATGTGGGAGGCCCTGGGTTCAATCCCTTATTCTCTCTCCACCAGAAAAAGAATATTGGGCTGGGAATTTAGCTCAGCGGTTCTGCCACCTGCCTTGTAAGTGCAAGGTCCCAGGTTCGATCCCCAGTACCAAAAACAAAAAAGAATATTATCTTTTCAAAGAAATATACATCAAACTGTCCCATGTTTTAGGTTCTTAAGTAGGACAGACCGTGAAGCACAAACTTAGGTTCTTCCAGTGCTAAGTACAGTACACTGTGTGTTTATTTCTTCTCTCTAGTCTAACTGAAATCTCTATCTTCAACATTTTTTTTTCTTGAGGAAAAACAAAATAAGGAAGGCGAAGAAACGGAGCAGGTTCTGAATCGGATGGTACCCCAGGTGAGAGTCCACATGTAGTAACGATGTTGTTAACAATGCCAATGCTTTCTCCCAGGTCTGCTTGTGGACCAAAGCAAGATATACAGTAGAGCCTTCTACTCCTGCGCGGCTGGCATGACTGTGGCTGCCATGTGCCTTGCCCTGGTGAGACCGTGTAAGCAGGGACTGTGCCGGCATCGTCATTCAGGTAAAAAGAAACCAGACAGCCATCGTGGGAAGACACTCCAGGACCTACCCGAGGACTTTCTGGAGATGGATCTTGGGAAAATTGATCCTAGAGTTCATGTGACTGTAGAGCCAGTATGACACGTTTTCGTGTCACAGCAGCCACGCTGTTGGCTGGAAAGGGGGCCCTGGGACACGGGGCAGAGGAGCTAACCACTCAATTCCGCTTTCAAAGCTGCATCTTAAAGGGAATGTACATGTGAGCAGCACTACCGACATCTTTCCTTCCTCCCTTTTCCTTTTCGTTTTTGAAGCCAAAACAAAAACAACCATATGTAAGTCTGGCTGTATTCAGTAGCAATACACAGATACACAGAAGGACTCTTTGGTTCACATTCCACTATTAAAATAGTGACATGAATTAATAAAGCACACTTCGCAGGTGATAAATTCCTATCTCAGAAAACGACCTCTAGCCCAGGTCACCGAAAGGAAATTGGCCATTCCAAAAACAAAATGTCTTGAATCATGGAAAAAAATTATTTTCAGAAATATGAGTAAAGTTTTTTGAAAGAATTTGAAAAATGCTGAGTTTCCATTAAATTACAGCCTCTGAATTTTACAAATATTGCATGAGACAAGTATGCCATAGTTTAAGACCAAACACTTGAATAATAAGCAGAAAACTTAATATTATGTGATCGGAGTTTCATGAATGTGAAGACTACCACTTCTTATGGCCAGTCATCACCAGAAGTATTTTAATACAGAATATACTAAATTACATTCAAAAATGTATTTCCTATTGCTTTTAGTTATTCAGAAATATGTGATTGTAGTGTCCTTTATTTAAAGCACTATTTATTATTAAGTTATTCTAGGGTAACTGAAATAATCAAAAGAAATGAAAAGTGGGCTGGGGATTTAGCTCAGTTGTTCCACCGCCTGCCTTGCAAGTGCAAGGTCCTGAGTTTGATCCCCAGTACCGAAAAAAAGAAAAGAAATGAAAAGTAATCTGAGACAGACATTGCATTTTTACCTCCTTGCAATCCTTTTAATGTCTCAAAAAATTCTTAACCTTGTAAAAGGCCAGTTTGTGATGATTCTTCAGTTTGATTAAAGGTAACGTGTGCGATTTTAAAGGGTGTGGAGGAGGAAAATGGACAGCAAATTGCCTTAGCTTCTTTCTTCTTTTTTGCGGGAGGGGTACTGGGGATTAAACTCAGGACCTTGTGCTTGTGAGGCAAGCGAGGTATCATTGAGCTACATCCCCAGCCCCGCCTTAGCTTTTAAAAAGATAACTTGTTTTATTAGCTAAGTATACTTGAGGATCTTCTCTGATCAAAATTTCTTTTGTTGAATTGTTGAAGCAGTTCTGATTTTTTTTTTAAATCTTAACTGTTGAGGTTTATCTGTATTTTATTTGGAGTACCAAATTTGTGATGTTGCTGTCACAAGTTACAAGTGACCATTTACATCTGACATAGAGCTTGACTTGATTGTTCTGTGTTGCCATAGGTATCAAGTAACTGGTCGTTATTTTGGAGTCACACTACATGTTTAATATTTCTCATTTTAGCAATTTTCTGTAAAGAGAATAAGAGGTGGGCTGTTTCCTCATCTATTTTAACTGAATCTCACCTGACAGGTGATGGTCAATGCTTGCTGCTCCATCTTTATTCATCTTTATTGTTAATTTAAGACTACTCAGGGGGAAAATAGAACAAGCCTAGTTTGGTTCCAGGTAAACACAAGCTTGAATATTTCTCTGCACTAAAAGGAAAGGGGCATAGATTATCACCACTGGCTACATTTTGTATAGCATTTTATCAGCCATAGAAATAGGACAATCTGTAAAACTCCGGGGCGGTTGCAGGAGGAAAAGACAAAGTGTCTGTCTAACACAGATGCACCTGAAACAGGCAAGGTTGGGACGTAGTAAATCTGCCGGGCTTGAGGAAAAGCTTGAGCTGGCAGCTTTGCGTACTTACACAACTTCAGCACTTTACAGCATACTTTGTACTATGAATGTTTGATCCAGTTTAATATTTATGATCAATTTCTGAGAGATCTGCTCTATGTCCATTCTGTTAACTGCATGAGAAAAAACATGTATGCCAATTTCAGTATGTCAATAATCAAGGTTTTAAATGTTTGGAAGAAAATAAAAACAAGATTTGTTCTGTATTAGTGACATTCTGGTACTTCTAGATTTACAATAAATGTATGGCTTCTTATTGAAAGAGACTTATTTTTTGTCTGTGGTAAAGTTTTGTTATTCACTTAACAGCATTCATTCTTTGAGCCAATTAAAATTATAAAAACTCCAGTAAATTCATTTTACATAAATACTTTTTACATTTTTCTGCACAACCTTTTTTAGCTGTATTACAGACATAAAATTTCTCTGAGGTATCTATTGAACTTGTCGTTGAAAAGAGGACAACTATCACATTGAATCCTTCTGTCTTTTTTACTTTCACATCACTGAGACAAAATACTCTGTACTCACAAGTTACAGGAGGAAAGCTTTATCTTGGCTCACAGTTTGTAGGGGTTTCATTTCATGGTTGGCCGGCCCCAAGGCAGGGTGGCAGGGTGGGAAGGTCTGGCGGAGAAACACACTTCACCTAAGAGGGAAGAGAGGCACCACGGAAGGAGATAAACTTCCGGGAAACCCTCCCTGTGACTCTCCTCCAGCCGGACCCACCTCCTAACGGTAAGCCAGCCACACTGCCTGTCCCAAAAAACCACCTAGGAGTGCAAGAGGCTTTGGGGGGACATCAAGCTATAAACCATTATGCCTTCCTACAGATTATTTAAAGCACCTCAGAAAATACTTTTTAAGGGTAGTCTTAAATCATAGATAACAGGAGACGGAAATAAAAATTAAACAGGACAGTCAAACGAAGGAGAGTAGTTTCAACCAACCACTGCACTGAGAATGAAAAGAGTGACTGAATCATTTCTCAATGAAAACATGAATGAAATGACACTGTGGTAGCCACTAGGCCTACTGAGAGTAGTAAGGATGAAAAGTTAAGCATACTTGACTTAGGGTTTGATCTTAAATGTCCCCAAAGGCCCTATGTTGAAGTCTTGGTTGTGGCCCCACTAGGAGGTGGCATTTGGGGGGCGCCCTTCAGAGGCACACTGGGATCCCAGCCCCGTTCCTCCCTCCCTCCCTCTCTCTCTCTGCTTCCTGATCACCATGAGATGAGCAATCTTGCTCCATTAAGGGCTTCTGGCCACCATGTTTGCCCCAGGCCCAGGTAATCGTGGTCTGAAATCTCTGAAACAAAGAACAAAAAATGATCTCTCTGCCTTTTAAGTTGTTTATCTCAGCTATTTTGTCACCCCGAGGGAAGAAGGTCAGCTAAGACAACTATCTAAATTCAGTCGCAGAACAGTCCTGCGAATTTTCCTAACCTCTAAGAAAACAGCACAGACTCCAAGCCAGAGGTTGGCAAGCTTTTTCTATGAAGGTCCAGAGAGTAAATGCTGAAGGTTTTACAGGTGGTGAGGTTTCTGTGGAGACTATTCATCTCTGCCGTCTTGATATGAATGTAGACTGTTTCCCTCCCCCAAAGTACAATTATTCCGGTTTTCAAAATGAGTACTGTAATCCTAGCAGTAGGGAGACTGAGGCAGGAAGACTGACACGAGTTCAAGGCCAGCCTGAACTACAAAGGGAGACCCCGTCTCAAAAGAATACATAAATACATAAATAAACAGTGACTTAAAATCAGGAGTCCTCTCAAGACAAATGTATCCTTGACTGAGTCAATGTTTCCAACCCTTTTCACAAAGTTACCCATTTTATACTCCAATACCATGCGATGTATCCAGGCCTGGCTCTGCACACCTTTAATCCCAGCGTTCAAGAACTTGAGGGAGGAGGATCACCACAAATTCAAGGCCAACCTAGGCTAGCACAGTAAGATCAGGGCCAGCCTGGAATACGCAGCAAGACCCCATTTCAAAAAAAGGACAAACAAACAAAAATTAATGTAACTTTTGTGCATTTATTTGCCTTTCTTTGAGCTTAACACCTGGTGATAAAAACAAAAATGCAGTTTCTTCTCCCTCCTCCTTCTTTTTCTTCCTCTTCCCTGTCCCTTTCCCCTCCTTCACGCATGCACGTGCCTGTGTGCGCATGCGTGTGTGCTACTGGGGATTGACCTCACTGAGCTACATCCCAGTTTTTTTCTCTCATTGAGTTTATTGGTGCATTTTAGGTATATAGCACAGTTACATTCATTATTGGGATCTTATACCTTTACATGGCAGGTCTTGGTTCTCATTTTTTCCCTTACCCCTGCCCTCTCTTCACCCAATCCTCTCTTCCCTATTTACAAAAATGTTATTTCCATTTTTTCATTTTCTCATATTTTTTCTTTTCCCTTATTACCTTTCCCCTACCCTTCCCACTTCCCCTACACCTTTAGCCCTTTCCTTCCTATTTCACATTGTCAACCATACTATTAGGCTCTTATTTACAATTACAGTTTTTCACACCACAGAAACTATTCATTATTTACTCATGTGTGACTTGTTTATTTCCCTAGCATCTTCTTTGAGACAAGAAATTCACTAAAATGCCCTGGCTGGGGTCAAACTTTCAATGCTCCTGCCTTAGCCTACCAGAGTGCTGGGATTACACCACTCTGGTCAGCTGGGAAATGCATTCTAAGTCCAGGTTTTGACTCTCTGGATTCAAATCACCTGGAAGTATTTATTACATTTAGATTTCCATGCTCCTAAGTTAAAATCATCATGATCATTATATCCCCCCATATCCAAACATGGAAAGCACCAATGAGGATTGAGAATTTAGAAGCCACTGCATTTATTTTGGTTTTTTTTTTTTTTTTGAGACAGGGTCTCACTATGTAGTTGAGACTGACCTGGAATTCACTATGTATCCCAGGCTGGTCTCGAACTCACAGCGATCCTCCTGCCTCAGCCTCCCGAGTGCTGGGATTATAGGCGTGCGCCCCCATGCCCGGCTAGAAGCCACTGCATTTAAAATGTTTAATGTTTACGAACATTACTTAAAATAGCCAATATAAGGACAAATTAGACATGCTACACTCTGAATGACCAGTCCTACAAGTGTACTTTGCCTGAGAAAAGAGAGGTTGTCTTTGTCTTCCATTTGTCCTCAACCCAGAAGTGAGTCCTCAAAGTGGACAACCACCTCCAACAGATGGGCCAAGCACAAGGGCCTAAGAAAGGAAGCTGGGTCCCCCTGGTGTTCAGTTCTGATAATTACTCTACAGGCGCAGGACAAGGAAAAGTGCTACAAGAACTCACACCTTTGCTTTTCACACAAACGCTCTCAGACCCAAATCAAAAGGACCTCAGTGCTCATCCAGGAGAAACTGGACGGGAAGCCAGATGCTGCAGAACACTGAATTTTGGGAGAAAATACTAATTGTGGTCATGTGTTTAGATCATTTATGCCTTTCCACTAACTCTAAGAAAACACGATCTTAATCTTCATTTGCTAATCATGACACACCGTATTTACCATTGCAATAATTTTTGTTATGAATTTTTTCATAGAATAGCTTTTATATTTTCTTTATTAATATCTACTTTTAAAATATTTTAAAAATAAAATTTAATAAAAATATTTTTAAAATAAAATTTAATGATACTAAAAAAAGCCAACAACAACAAGGATGCAGTCTACCCTAGCAACTCCCTCCCCTAGAATTCAACCAGAACTTTAAGAAACTCTTCTGAGCCCAAAGTGGTGGCACACAACTGTTATCCCAGCACTCTGGGAGGCTGAGGTGGGAGGATCTCAAGTTCAAGCCCAGTCTGGGCAACATAGCAACTTGGAGAGATCCTGTCTCTAAATTAAAAAGGAAAAAACTTTAACGGCTTGAGATGTAGTTAAGTGTGAAAGTCTGGGCTTCAGTCCCCAATACACCTCTGCTACACTGATGCCCACTCCTTCTTCGTCCCAACTTTGCCCGAGTTCCAGCCTTGAAAATGCCCACGTGCAGCAGGCAGAGGTCAACTAGGCATCTCCAACATAATATGTTCTCAGAGGAACTCTGGCGCCTGCTCCTCCAACCACAAATCCTCCCAGCTCCACTTTCTACGTATACCCTGAACCTAAAGTTTTGGGAACTCCACCTTACCCCAATTCGTCTCGAGCACCTTAATTGGATTGACAATAATCTCCCAGCTTGTTTGCCTGCTTCCACTTCTGCCTTCATTTCCCACACAGCACCATGATAAAACCCTTTAAAGCACCAGACAGACACAAATCCTTAATGGTGGGCCTGGGTGAGCTGCCGGATGCTGTTACTTTCCCCTTTCACCCTGGCCTTCCTGGTTATCCTGCTTCTCCCTGATTCGTTCTTACTGTCCCAAGGCCTGGGCCTCCAAAACTGCAGTTCTCTTTGCCTGGTACCTCCTTCCCCTAAATGTGGATATGGTGTGACCTTTGGATCTGTTCAGTTTCAAATGCCACCTGCATGGAAGAGAAAAGAGACGATCCTCCTCAAGACAGTTTTTTTCTCTTTTAGGGGGAAGGTGGGGGACACTGAGGATCAAACCCAAGGACACTCTTACCACTGAGCTACAACCCCAGTCCTTTTTTATTTTACCTTTAATTTATTTATTGGTACCAGGGATCAAACTCCCCGTCCTTTTTTATATTTTGTTTTGAGACAGGTTCTTGCTAAATTGCCTTAAGGGAACTTTCCATCCTCCCTCAGCCTCGCTCAGTGCCAGGATAGCAAGTGCACACCACTCGGAATTCTTTCCTCTGACATTATATTACAAAAGCATTTGTTTGCTCCTTGCTTATCTGCCTCTTCCACAAACATATTCAGATGGTGAAGCTCTGTTCACTGCTGTTATATCCCGCGGTGTTGGGCAGAGCCTATTATTTCTCATCCCCTCCCCCTACATGAGAGAAAACAAAAGGTATCTCTTCACAAATGCAGCCAAAAAGGCTGGTGCTGCTAGCAGGTCGCTCGGTGGCACTAATGGCTCAGACCTGTGCCCAGGACCTATCTCCCAACATCGAAGCACAGGTCTGCAAGAGGCTGGCGGGTGATTCCAAAAGGGATGCCTCAGCTGCAAGGACGAAAAACTGATCCACCAACAGAGACCGAACGAAACAGAGGGGACAAAGTAACGCAGGTGCGAGGGTGCCAATGGAGGGCTGTGAGTTTTAACACACTGCCCACTCGGATTCTGTTTTAACCTAACCTTTTGTCCAGTATGCGTCATTGACACATAGTAATTGTACATCGTTACAGGATACAGTCTATCACCCCAGCCATTTATCATTTCTTTTTGTTGAGAACATTCAAAATCCTGCCACTAGCTATTTTAAAATTTGTGCTCGACTATTTTTTTGTTTTTGTTTTTGTTTTGCAGTGCTAGGAATCACAACCAGGCCTTTTACATCACGGCCAAGCACTGTACTGTGCGGCTACACCCCTAACCATAACTGACATTTTTCCCATGATGCATTTTTAAACACCTCAGCCGGTAGCAACTACTTTTCTAAATATTTTACCTCTCTTTTTTGTGTTTTTTTTTCCTTCCACTCACTCCATCTCTGACCTTTTGTTGTTGTTGTTGTTGTTCTAAGGCAAAAGTACATAGACTAATTTCTCTTACTTTGAGCAACCTCCTTTGGCCCCACCTGAACAGAAAAGAAGTTAAAAGATAAATCTTCTAACCCCTTTTATACACACAACATGAAAACTGTTTGGTTTCCAGCCAGTATAGTTCCATGAGGTCATGTAACATCGTGAAAACCATGCAAAACTCGACACGAGGAAAACTGGGATTGGATCTCAAGTTTGCCATCGGTTTAACTACACACAAGCTTAGTTAGCCAGAGTTTGTTTCTGCATCAGCAGAATGAACTAAACTTTGCAAAACTCGACACGAGGAAAACTGGGATTGGATCTCAAGTTTGCCATCGGTTTAACTACACACAAGCTTAGTTAGCCAGAGTTTGTTTCTGCATCAGCAAAATGAACTAAACTATTTCCATACTCTTACCACTTTACAGCTCTGCTCTCCAAACATGAAAATGCATCCGAAAGAAAGAGCTAGCCCTTGGCAATGAAGGGGAAGGTTAAAATGAAAACAAAACGAAACAAAAAACAATCTGCAACAGAGAAGAGCAGCACAGTGGAAAACCCACTGACTCCAGAGTCCCTTATGGTTGCTGCCAAAGACCTCCATGGCCCTTTTCTTGCATAAGCCTCTCTCTCCTATTGGCTCAGTTTCATGGGCACATCTTTCCAGGTAGACTAGAGATGGGAGGTCACCTAGAGCTGCATTCTCCAAATACACGAGCCACAAGCCATATGGGGCTGAAAACCTGAAATACAGTCACTCCAAAGACAGATGTGCTATGAGAAATACACACCTGACTTTGAAGAATTGATACTAAAAATTAATATGTTACTTCAATATTTACATTGACTACATGTTGAAATAATATTTTGTTTTTGTTTTTTGAGACAGGGTCTCACTGTGCGGTGCAGGCTGCCCTTACAGTCACTATGTAGCACAGGCTGGCCTCGAACTGGAGGTGATCCTCCTGCCTCAGCCTCCCAAGTGCTGGTATTTCAGGTATGCGCAACCACACCTGGCTTGAAATAATACTTTGGGTGCACTCTGTTAAATAATATATATGATTGAAATTAATTCCATCTACTTTTTGCATTTGTTAATGTGGCTACTAGAAAAGTTAAAACTTCCATAAGTGGCTCGCATTATACTTCCATCGGACGGTGCTGCTCTAGATATTGGGTATCAGAATCTAGAAAGTAACCAAGATTCAAACTTTTAAACGAAGCACTTTGTAAATGCTGAACCGAGAGAGAACTGGTTGCACTCACACTGCTCGGCGGTTCTCGCCATCCCGATGTTCAAGGCCAAGCCCAGAGCGCTCACACAAGGGCGCAGCCCACGCCTCTCCGAGGCGGCC